CACACACACACACACACACACACACACACACACACACACACACACACACACACACACACACACACACACACACACACACACACACACACGCGTATATATTATATTGTGTGTCGATAGTCACAAACTAGAAATTATAAATATAATGATTTCATTGTTAAAGGCGGAAAATTTAATATTTCAGAAAAATTCTGTACTTGAATTCTTCATAACGTGACTAAAAAATAAGATATTGAGTTAAAAAGAATACATTTTGTTGGAGGATGAACAATGCGTTCACGACTTCTAATTACAATTTCGAGATAACATTAATCTTTTTTACAAGAACATTTTTAAATATAACAAAAGAGTCATTTTTGCACATTAAATCTCAATTATTTTGAAAACTTAACGTACTGAAATTTAACTTGCGGCATCATTTTGAGCATTCAAAAATCTATTAAAAAAAACACCTTATTAAAAGAAACATTTTTTGTAAATTAATCTATTAATTATCTTTATTCACAGTTTATAAATGTAGCACCAAATCCATTTATCGACACTACGATTTTATCGACAATGGGAAAATGTGATACATAGTTCAAATCAATTTATAAAATTGATATTGGTGCCGCTAGCATACGGTGACTTTCGCCTCACACGAAAAAGGCCGCCATGGCCTCTCTCAGGTTTCTCTTTGATCAAATGCACGATGTAAACTAAACCATAAGTTCGATCTCTTGATCTCTTTTCTTCATGTTGGCAACAATGCAGATAATTTCGATTTTTAGGTTATCTTATATATGGCGTAGTCTGCGAAAGTGCTGTAAATCTGGCTCGAGCTGTATCTACAGGATATTGACAAAATGTCCAGGAGAAATTCCGGAGACGATTTTAGAAAAGGTTTTGTTCATTTTATCTATTATGCTGCCAGTGAATATAGATAACGCGCATTACAATTCTGGGAAGACAGTTATAGTGATTTCGATCATTTGCACTACGCTAGATCAGTGCATACTAAAAGCTGCTATACATGAAATTAGCAAAGTTAAATGTAAAAGTATATAAATATTTTAAACAATTGACTATTTATTAATGATATTGTCATATTTACTAAAATATACATGTATTATTTCATTATCAAAAGTGATTACATTGTATCTCACTACATTGAAATGTTTTATATAAAACAGCTTTTAATATGCACTAATCCAGTGTAATGCGAGTGATCAAATTCACCATTAGATATTTCCATAAATTATTAAATCAATAGTCTTTTTTTGTATAAGTGAATGAGGATTTTATAATGGGCGCATTCAGTGGACTCGACAGTGAGTGAGCGCTTGCTATTATTGGTATTCTTTTAGATCATCCAAAATTTTAGATCTAAAAGAATATATCAACAGCAGCGAGCATTCACTCAAATGTTGTGTCAGTTGAACACAGTCAATGAGTCAGTAATCTGTAATTGGCCGACTTCACCAACTTATTGATAAGACTTAGAACTATCAACTATCGAATTGTAGAATAAGCTTTAAGCTATAAAAAAATGGCCTTAATTTATTATTCTTGTCACATTTGACTGTGACTGGTTAATTTCTTACAATTTAAGATTTAAAACTTTAAGTAACAACTTATTATAGCTTATAAGTCCGCAAACATAAAAAGTGTAACCCAAGAAGAACAAAGGTTTGAGCACAAGAATTGCCATAACACTTACTTAAACTTAAATGTAGACGTAAGTAACACACAAGTTTTCACATATGACATACAATTTATTATCGTATCTCTAAGAGATGGCAATAAATCACACATCTAATATATCATATGCCAAAAATTGTGTGTTACTTACATCTATAACTTAACTCTCTAAGTAAATGTTACGACAATTCTTATGCTCAGATCCTAAGTTCAGATCTACAATAGATGTTTTTAAGCCTTAAGCCGTAAGAAATTAACAGTCGAATAAGAGGAGATTATGATTTGTCCATTTTTTATGGCTTAAGACTTAAAAATCTATTGTAGATCTGGATATCAATCATGAAACTTTTCCTAAGATGAAAAGTAAAAAATAAAAAATTTATCCATTAACTTCAATGGTTAAAATTTTCACTTTTCATCCTAGAGATAAAGTTTCATAATTGATACCCCCGGGATAATTGATTATGTTTGGTCAATTCCTTAAGGCTTAATGTACGCTCTACAATAAATCATTATTTAAGCTTTAATGGTAAAATAATAATAAAGGTAAAAAATAATAATAAAGGTAAAATAGTAATAAAGGTAAAAAAATTGACCAATCACAGTCGTTAATTTTTAGCTTCTGACTTCTAATTTATGATTAACGACTTATTGTAGAAGGCCCATAAGTCTTAAGCCCATAAGTCTTAAGATTTACTTGTTTTAATTGCATAATTTTGTTTTGTAACTGTATGACGTGATTTTTTTTTTTTTTTAATAGGATTACCACTCTTGCGGTAACCCCGCAAACACAATAAAGTAATAAGCCTTAAGCTTTAAGCCTTAATAAAATATTTTTTCATTAAGTACTTTTCAAATTATAAGGCTTGAAAGTTACAGTATCGCCAGCATTAGCATTATGCAAGATGTCCGACCGACGGCTAAAACCTTTTGAATATTGTTCAGAATCACGTCCTGGATAATTTGTTAAGATCAAGGTCATTAGAGATTATTTCTCTTAATTTCATTTTTGCACTAAAAATGAAAATAAGAAGTATAATCTCCATTGATCTTGATTTTGACAAATGTTATTCAGAACATCTGATCTTGAATGACATTTAAGATTTTAATTATCGAACGAATACCTTGCATAATGCTAATGCCGGCATTACTGTCACTTTTGAGCCTTATAACTCGAAAAGTAAAATTAATAAAAAATTATTTTATTATATAGTGAATGAAAAATTATTTTATTATAGTGTTTTGGAAAGCTCTCAGAGTGTGCTATAAGAATATGAAAAATAGGAGGTTCCATTTAAAAAATTCAACTTGATTTTCACATGACCTTGCAAACTCCAGTCAAGGTCAACCTTTTATCATCAATTAGATAGATTTTTTGATATCCTACAACTTTGTTTTTATATATTTTTCACTAGAATTCGTTTTCGAAATATTTTAGCGTTTCCAGACTTTTTTGAAGACCCTATATATACACTGGAATGAGCATCTCCGCTATGAAGCATAGAAAAGCATAGTGACAATTGTTCAGCGCCATTTTTAATTTGGTCAATATAAGAGCGAATCGGAAGCTTTCAAGTATTCATGCACATTTACGTTTAGTGTTCTTTAATGAGACGTATATATCAGCAAAAGTATCGTGTGTGGGATTATATTTGAAAGATTATAAAATTTTACTTTATAAAAATATTACTTTGAAAGATTATAAAATCGCATGATTAAAATGTACAAAGCATCAACATGAAGTGCTGTGGGCAGAGAAGTAAAAAGGGCTTCGCTCAAATATCGGGATATCAAATATCCCAACTAAAATGATGGCTGATCAATTATGGCTACGAATTTTCCTTGATTCCTTGATTGAAAATATATATATAGTTCAGTAATTCATGGTAGATAGCAGAACGAGTTCAAAATATGCTATATTAAAAATTTGATTAATTATATTTAATCTCCATTAAAAGAGGATACTAATTTTCAAGGGTTTCATGACCATTCGAGAATCGTTTTATTGTTTTCATATGTATTTTTCTTTGTTGAAATTAAAAATAATTATTATAAATATCAGACTTAAGAAAAAATTCGTATTGAAATAAAATATATAAAATATTCGCATCGTTAAAATCATCGTCAGTTATGTTTCATTGATTTAGAAGTTAATTCCAAATTGGATTAAATGCGAGAATTGCACCATGAAACATTTTAGAATTAGATTATACTTTTCATTAGAACATTTGTTACAAAAGAAAATTAATAATCTTATGAAAAATATGAAAACTGTAAAATACGATTTAAAACATCAATTATTGCTTTCTAACTAATCCTTTTTACGAATCATTTTATATGTTTAGATTCGATTTCAATTGTAATATATATATATATATATATCAATTGTAATATTGGTAATGAAAATTAACTACGAAAAAGTTCTTTTATTTAAAAAACAATGATGAATGATGAGATGCCCTCCTTCTTTTTTATTCGGATTTGGGACCGACTTTTATAAGAGATAAAGTTACATCTCCTATTTACATATATATATACACATATATATATATGTATGTGTATATATACATATACACAAGGTTGCGTTTAAATAACGATAAAATATAGGTATAAAGGACTAAACTAAGTCAAAAAGTTCTCTACCATTTTCGCAGTAATTAAAATATAATTATCTACTAAAAATCGCCGAGTATTGATTTTCAATAATTTTTTACTCAAATATTATCAATTTTACAGAAAAACAGCAAATGACAAAAATTGTGTATTTTCTTCTCAAAGAGTTCTGAGAATTTTTTCAGAATTTTTTCAGAATGTTTAGTACAGCATTTTCTCATCTTGGAAAAATAGTTATCGAAAATGCAGTTAAGAAAATGCAATACAACATTGATAAAAAATTCTGGGAAAATTCTTAGAACTCTTTGAAAAGAAAATAAACAATTTTTGTCTCTTTGTTTTTCTGTAAAATTGATAGTACTTCAAAAAAAATTATTGAAGACCAATATTTGATGATTTTTAGTAATTGATATTTTATTAATTATTACAAAAATTACAAAATGGTAGAAGACTGATCTTTCGACTCAGGTTAGTCCGTTCTACCCCTATGCGAAAGGTTTGCTCTACCCCTATTTCATTTCGTTACTTGTCAAACACTATACACACACACACACACACACACACACACACACACACACACACACATATATATATATATATTTACATATATACATATTACATATAAACATATTTATATATTTTACATTACACATACATAATATTAGAATTCCTGCTCAATTTTTAAATAATAATTTTCCAGCAGGGATACTGATTGGTGACTGTAAGAGAAATGAATAAAAAATGAATAAAAAAAGAAAACATACATATTTGTATATATGTGTAAGCTTGGGCGCGTGCGAGAGTATAAATATATAAATATACATATATGTGTGTGTATGTGTGTGTGTGTGTGTGTGTGTGTGTGTGTGTGTGTGTGTGTGTGTGTGTGTGTATGTGCTCGTGCGTGCGTGCGTGCGTGCGTGCTCGCGTGCGTGCGTGCGTGCGTGCGTGCGTGTATAAATAGGAGTAATAATGTGTAACTTTATTACTGTCGATTCCATATCCGAATAAAAAAAAGAAGGGCATCTTGTCATTTATTATTATTTTTTAAATAATAAGAGAACTTTTTCACAATTATCATTATTAATATTACAGTCGATGTAAATCGAATCTAAAAATATAAAATGATTCGTAAAGAGGATTAGTTGAAAAGCAATAACTGATTCATCTATTTTCAAGTTTTCATATTTTTCAGATTATTATTAATTCAGATTATTTTTAAGATTTTTATAACAATTTTTTTTATAACAAATGTCTTAATAAAAAATATAATCTAATTAACGTTTTTTGTAGTGCAATATTACTCGCATTTAATTCAATTTGGTAACTTCTAAATCAATGAACCATAACTGATTGATGATAGTGATTTTATAACGATACAAATAAGGATTTTATTCACTTTATTTCAATATATCAATTTTTCGTTAAGTCTGGCATTATTATAATATTATTTTCGGTTTCTATGAAGAAAAATGCATAAGAAAACATAGAAATAAAATGATTTCCGAGCGAAACCTTCGAAAATTGATACTCTTCTTTACTAAAGAAATACTTGTCCAATTTAAAAAATATTTAAAAATGTGAAAATGGTGTATGCATGAAAAAAGTTCAATTTTCATGTAAAAATTCAATATAAAAGTATGAATTATAAAAAAAGTATATGTATAAGTTATCGCAAAAATTACAAGTATTTCTTTAGATAATTCAATTGACAATAACTGAGCAAAATTTTAAATTATTTGGATTAATTTTGTGATAGTTGTAGTGTCCACCATATTTTAAAACAACAAACGCGATTAAAGTTTCAATAATAATCTCTTTCATCGATTTAAATGGATGCATGATTTTAACCGAAACCAGTATAATCTATATTAAAATGGTATGTCAACGTCATCTATAGTACAGATGTAACTATAACGTCGAATAATGACTGAAATATTCAGGTAAACGAAACAGTTTAATGGCAATGTGGAGGCACCGATTGCTATGAATCTCTCGACATAATCAACTGTATCTTCGTCAATATTGGGAATTTCACTTTTGGATAAAAAATTTTATATTTTTAAGGCTTCCGAAGTCATCACAGCCATATTAAATCGTGACGAAAGAAACGAGAAATAATATGTTAATTTTTATTATGTGCCATTTATAAATAAAGACAATTTGGATAAAACAAAATGATGGGATTGCTTTAAAACAAAAAATGGACAAAAACTATGCTTATTCTTCCTAGTTAGTAATCATAAAAAGTGATAAAAGGTACATGAAGTGCTTTTATTCAATGCGCATGCGTAACTTATTTTCAATTACCTTTTGCCAATTACATCGATTTAATCAGGATTTACAATAGGTGTTTTAAGCTTTAAGCTATAAGAAATTGACTAATTACTCCGGATCTACAATAGATTTTTAAGCTTTAAATCATAAGGAATGGACGAATCACAATCAATTATTCTCCTCGCATTCGACTGTAATTAGTCAATTTCTTACGGCTTAAAATTTTTTTAAAACACCTATTATAAATTCGGACTTATGGCACACTTCTGGACGCGGAAACGCTTGTCGCGCGGCAAAATAAGACGCGGTAATCAGTAAACACATTAGAAGCTTATTGGCTACTGCATCACATTTTGCCGCGCGGTAAGCGTTTCCGCGTCCAGAAGCTATTACAGAATGCGAGGAGAATAATTGATTGTAATAATTCGTCCATTCTTTAAAGCTTAAGGCTTAAGGTTCTTGACTCAGCCAGCGACACAAAATCAAACGGCGGCCTGGCGAAACCGATAGCCACACACAAGCACAAGTCCATGTACATACGCCAAGAGCACACGTTCATGCTTGGGTTCATGCTTGTGTATATGGCTATCAGTTTCGCTAGGCCGCCATCTGATTCTGGCTGAATAGTTAGGAGCCTTAAGATTTAAAAATCTATTGTAGATCCGGGGTAAATTTTACCTGTTGAGTAAGTAGCAAGAATACTCAATCATGTGCGGATTGTCAGATTTACCTCACAGATAAAATTTCCAACCAAAAGATGGAACCGACTCTTAAGACTTAAAACACTTATTGTAGATCTGGACAGTTCTGCTAATAAAAAACGTTATACCTAAGCTTTAAATCTTAAATTGTAAGAAATTAACCAGTCATAGTCGATTCTTCTCACATTCAATTGTGATTGTTAATTTTTTAATAATAATGGTTAATTTTTTATGGCCTAAGATTCTGAACACAATGAAGGAAATATTAGAATAAAAATAAATATTAAGATTTCAATCTGTCAGATTCCAGTGTAATTAGTAGATTGAAATCTTATTTACTTTTGTTTCCAATATTTGTTTTATTATATTATGCGTAGGACCTATGATTTAAAACTTAGATAATGGCCTATTGTAGAAAATCATTGAACTGTTTAGGACTTTCAACTATCGACTCATTGGCTGCGTTCAACGGAATCAACAGTTGAATGAGCGTTCACTGTTATTGGTGTATTCTTTCAGATCATCCAATAAATATTTTAAATCTGGAAGAATATATCAATAGCAACGAGCGTTTAATTGTTGACTGTTGTTCACTGGAATGCGGTCATTGACTACATTTACGGCACTCTTAATCAGGTTTAATAACATCCATAAATTATGAAACTGGTCACAATCGTTCCGTTCTTCCAGGAAACAGTTATAATCGGCCAATTTTTAATAACTATGGATGTTATTAAACCGATTAAGCGTGCCGTGTAAATGTAGGCATTGCAGAACCCCAATTGTAATAATTAATTTGAGAGAAATCAAGACAATGTTACTTTTGATTGTTTGGCTCACAGCATATAAACACATCCACAAAAAAAGCGGTATACTGAAAAATTAGGAAAAATTTCAAATGACTTATAACTTGATAAATAATAAAGATAAAAATATATTTAAAAATGCAAAATGAAGTTTGAAGTGTCCACTTTAAGAATATTTGAATGAGATTTATGCTGGGTCATTATTATTAAAATGTCAAATGACAAAGTGAAAAGATGAAAAGTTAATAATCGAAGGTCTGTGATTATCACGATGCATGGCATAAATCAAGTATGACAGCCTAATGGGATAAAATGCACATGAAAATATGAAACTTTATATTTAAAACACTTTTTTTACGGAGTTCGATACGATTATTTTTTATTGAATTATTCCAAATTTAAGATACCGCTATCATTAGCTAGAAGTTATGATAATTAATAATTGTAATTAATAATTCATTCCAATATGAACTGCATAGAATTTGACGGATTGGAATTAAATCTTATTTTGTGTTTGTATGTGCGTGCGTGCGGATATGTGTGTAGGCGCGCGAGCATGCGTGTACGTCACAGCAAACATAAGAACCCCACAGCTTGTCACTTCCGCAGTATTTACCGATTCCTGTCTGCTGTGCGTGCGCGCACGCGCACACACACACACACACAAAACAAAATAAGATTTAATTCCGATCCGTCAGTCTATGCAGTTCATATTGGGATGAATTACAACCCAGCAAACGAGAATGGATTGAAATGAATTGAAATGGGTTCAGATTTTCAGAAATATTGATTCACGAATGTTAAAATGAATGCTTTTCAATTCTGAATGCATTTTTATGCATTTATAGGAATTACATGGAGCATATCTCTATTTTTCAATCTAAAAATATTAACTTTTTCTGTGCAAAAAACACACAATATTGTTCAATTCAAAATTTTGAATAGGAAATACAATTTTACAATCCAATTGCATCCAATTGAATCTAATTAAATTAGACTCCAATTGAATCCAATTGAATCCAATTAAATTCAAAAAAAGTATTCGCTATTTAAAATACGCATTCGAATAAAAAAAAATTTCAATTCATTTTAATCCATTCTCGTTTGCTGGGAATCAACTTTAGCTAATGATAGCAGTACCTTAAATTTATAACTCAGTGAAAAATGATCGTATCAAATTCCGTAAAAAAAAGCATTTTAAAGATAAAGTTCCATACTTTCATATGCATTTTATCCAATTGGTTGTCATACCTGATTTACGCCATGCATCGTGATAATCACGGATCTTCGATTATCAACTTTTCATCTTCTCACTTTGTCATCTGATATTTTGATAATAATGGCCCAGTATAAATCTCAAATATTCTTAAAGTAGACTTTAAGCTTCATTTTGCATTTTTAAACATTTTTATCTTCATTATACCAAATTATGATCATTTGAAATTTGATAAATTTTTCCTAATTTTTCAGTATACCGCTTTTTTTGTGAATAGTGTAGAATGTATTTCGCATTATAAGTACGATTGATTTTTACTTACATCGTAATTTTTTCAAGTACTTGTACAAAATAATTGTGTGCGTGTTCACACAATTATGTAATAATTATTGTAATATACAATTTTACAGAATTACATAATTTTAATTTTACCTCATAACTTTATACAGCTAATTTCTTTAATTTAATTGTTAAATTTATAGGATTGCATTAAACATAACTCGCTTAAAGATTTCCGGTTAAAAAATCAATTTTGTTTAACTTGATCTGAACTTTGCCAGTGTTTGACGTTGTCAGGGTCAAGTGTCTACAGAACCGAGGACAGGAGAGAGGATGACAGAGGTAGGGATCGTTCTCCGCTCAGAACCGAGGAACGTAGCAGTACAGACGATTGCGATCAGTTGGATGCAAAGAAACAGAAGTTGGCGTTTGGCTTTGGGAAAAAGACTGGCAATGAACAGAAGAAAGGAATTCAAATTAAATTAGGTTCTTTCTCCGTAAGTAAAATATTCGCTTGACTTTGATGCTTCGTTTTGCTACATACATTTTTGTTGTGAAATTCTGCCTCTCATAAAATAACTGTTACAGAAGTCAACTGCGAAGACGACAGTACAAAAACCGACAGTAGCCTCGGTGTTCAATGCAGACGATGATGAAGAACCAGAGGAGATGCCAGCAGAAGCGAGAATGAGGATGCGAAATATCGGACGTGAGACACCAACATCGGCTGGACCAAATTCGTTCGGCAAAACAAAACAGGGATTCTGCGACTCTAAAAAGATATTTGAGAAAACACTAAAGAAAGCAATGGAAGAGGCAAACAAATGATTTTCCATATATTATATATATATATA